TATTTTATTATTATTCTTTATTTTACCAAACCCTATTTATTTTCTTATATTTTCTTCCTTCAGTGTATCTTATCTTTATCTTATCCTCTTGCTGATTCTTGTACGTTTCCGTTTTCTATATATTGATATTCTTGTGAATTATTCAATACTAATCGATGGATCAGATGGATCACACAATGATAATGATAGCACTAATAATGGTTAATTATGATTATAGATGAAATGATAGTAACAATAATAATTGAATATTATGGTAATGATAATAATATTCATGATAACAGTGATAATATAAATGAAAATAATGATAATGCCGGATAATTATAATAATTAATGATAACAAAATAATTGTAAAGATAACTTAAAATGATAGTGTAATGGACCGAATGATTAAATAACAATCAATGATGATAATATTGATAATAATAACAACAATAATAATTGGATGACGAATAATAATAATAATGATATGTAATAATAATGATGGTAGTAATGATAAATAATAGTAATTGACATAGTAATAATCATAATTATAATAATTTTGATAATGATAATGCTAATGATAATAATAGTTATACTACTAATGATATTAATAATGATAATAATAGCAATAAGGATGATAAAGTATTAATAACAATAATAACAAAATGATAATAACAATAGTTATAAAATGGCAATAAAAACAATGATGATAATGATAATGAATAGGATAATAATGAAGATAATGATAATGAATATGATAATAATGAAGGTAATGATAATGAATATGATAATATGCAAAGATATATGATACATGACATATGAGTAATAATGAAGGATAATGATAATGAATATGATAAGTTTAATGAGATGAATCGCTACAGAAATATGCATAATAATGAAGATAATGATAGATAGTTTTATGATAATAACTGTTTCATTACGGTGCTATACCTTGTTTGGATATTGCATCTTTGTTTACGAAAATTCCTTTGTCCTTTGTACAAAGTATGGATCACCTGTTACTATCAATTGCACTAAAATTGACTGTATCTTTTTGTAGGAAATATATAATGCAGTAATGCTTGTCCGAGTAATGATAATCTCTCGTTAGATTATGTTTTTAATTAAGGAATGAAATGATTGGTACTGAGTGATAGTTGAATTCAAGGTAAAAATAAAGAAAAAAAATGCTTGGAGTGCTGTAAGGAAGAAAATAGGAAAAAGGTTAATATGATTGATGGTTGATGATGTTTGATGGTGATGATGATTGATGAGGTGATTACAAAAATAATGACAGTAGTAATAGCGATGATGATAATGGTGATAGAAATAAAGATAAGGAAGAGAAAGATAACAATAAAACCAAAGAAACTAAACAAAAAATAAACACACTCAGAAGAAGAGGAAAAGAAGAGAAAAAAAAAATAAGGATAAGCTTTCAGAAAAGAGAAAAAGGAACAAGAAAAAAAACGAACTAAAGATATGAAAACAAACGAAGGGAAAGAATTCTAACAACAAGAAAAAAGTGGAAAACAAGTGAAAAATAGGAAAAAAGGAAAGAAAACAAGAAAAAGAAAATCCGAAGCAAGGCGATAATAATGAAAAAAATAAAAGGAGGATAAAAAGGAAGAATAAGAAGAATAAGAATAAGAGAAGGAGGAAGACAAAGACGAAGAGGAGGAAGAAGAAGATGAATAAAAAGAAGAAGGAGAATAATAATAAGAGAAGTATGAGGAGGATGTGAAGAAGAAGATAAGGAGGATGTATTAGGAAATAGGAAAAGATGAAGAACGAAGAAAAATGCCAAAAGCAAGAAGACGACGATGTTCGAGGAGGAGGAGGAGAGGAGGAAGAAAACTAGAAAATATGAAAAGGAGGAGGGAAAAGAAGGGGAAGAAGACTAGATTTTGAGAAAATACAGAAGATAAGAAGAGGAAGAAGAAGAGAAAAATAGAGAAGATAAAGAAGAATAAGACTTAAGAAGAAAAAGAAGAAGAGAAGCAGAGAAAGAAGAAGAAGAATAATGAGATATAATAATAAGAAGAAGAGAAAGAAGAGAAAAGAAATGACAGACATGGCAAGAAGATGAAGACAAAGTGAATTAAAATTAGGAATAAGAATAAAGAAAAAGAAAGAACAAGGCAGGAAGGAGAAAGACCCCAGAAAAGAACGAAGGAGTCAACTGGAAAACGAGCTTGTTCACGCCTTCGAGAAGCACTACACATTCCTGACCTGAATATTATAAGATGGATTAAATCTGACTCTTCGAGCTCCCACTATCATTCATCCACCATTCATAATCATACCATGAAATTCACTTTCATCATCACCACCTCCCATAATTATATCTATCGGCCATCAACCATCACCTTCATCGATTTATCATAATCATCATCATCATCATCACAACAACACCTTAACATGTTATTCACTCGATAAGTCCTTATCATCATCACCATCATCATACAAAAAATAACACCATCATTCCATCGATCACATAAATGTGGACACATTATTATTTATTCACCGTCGTTGCTATATATATAAATTATTTTTAAGGACTCAGATTTGGTATGGTCCCTATATATCACGTGATCATATATGATGTAGCAAAATTTCACGACCACTGAGGAAGATTTTGGTTGTTTTTAATTTTGGTTTTTTTATTATCATTATTATCTTTAGTTTCATTTGTTTATTGTTATTGTTATTAATTGTGTTGTTATTATTATTATTATTACTATTTCATATTATATATTATTATTATCTTATATATATATTATTATTATTTTATATTATTATTATTATGATATCATTCACTCCTCATATAATATGAGTTATTATTACTGTTATTAATGTATCATTATTGTTATTATACTTTATTATCTTCTACTCTCTCTCTCACTCTCTCTCTCTTTCTCTGCTTTCCTCACCTCTTCGTTCTCTCTTCTCTCTCTCTCTTCCTCCGCTCTCTTCTCTCTCTCTCTGTCTTCTCTCTCTCTCATCTCTCTCTCTCCTCTCTTCTCTCTTCTTCTTCTCTCTCTCTCTCACTCTCTCTCTCTCTCTCTCTGTCCACTTCACTGCAATGCCTCTCATCATGTCCTCCCTTTCCTCTTCACCATCTTTTCTCTGTATTATGATTCCTATAGTAAAGAATACTGGAAGACAGGCGCGAGAGAAGAGAGAAAAGGAAGCAGTTAAACCTTTAAAGACTGGAGTGAAGTTAAATTTAATTAAAGAGATAAAGGAAAAGTAGAAGGAAAAAAAAAATAATTAATGAGAAGAGAAGCTAATTAAAGGGAAAAGAAGAAAAATGAGCTAATAGTAATAATTAGTCACTGTGTTTTATATATACGAGAAAATATATCTTAGATTTATCAACAACTGACTGGAAAAATATTCCTTAATCAAAGATAACCATTGTGTCGTTTTTATTATAGTTAATCCTGCGATTTGGTGAATTAATTGACATTTAATTAGCATGTGATCGAATCATCTTCTTTGGTATTTCTTCCTATTTCACTTCTTATTCGTCTCACCACTTCCTCCCCTTCCTCACATTCTCCCTTGCTCCTTATTGCCCTCCCCCTTTCTTCCNACAATCCAACCCCTAATAAGGCCACGTAGCTTCGTAAAATTCAGTGGATTAAGGTGTTCATGCCAGCAATTTCCATTCCATCAACACCATACTGCTGGCTCCCAATGTTTCTTTCATGGGACCGAAGAGGCGCTGGTCTGAAGTCTCGTCACCTCGAAAAAGCCTTTTAAAAAGTGTGTCTCTTTCACCGATCACCGATTTTGAGCGTTATTTTTTTAACTAGTTTTAAGCGTTTTTTTGTTCTCTATTCTACTTATTTAAGCCTGTTTCACCCCTTATTTTCTCCGAAACAAAGCGACCGTAGACTTCTGTGAAAACCTGACTGACTCTCTCTCAGACTCCGATGCTAACTCAGCAAGGGCTATGCGCTCTCAGTTTTAGGATAAAGCCTTTGCTGTTGCTGGATTGCAAGAGTTGCAGGAGTTGACGGGCTTGCAGGGAGGGCTTTATCTGCTGTGGTTGCAATAAGGTTCCGCCTCTTGCGTCTTCTAGATTTGCATTTAGACGAAGGACGTTTCTGTAGTCTAAAGTTCGATTCCTACAAACGTTCTGTGGTCTCTTGTAAATGTTTCAAAGGATATCTTTTCCAGAAACATGGAATTCATTTTTGAATACACATACACACACACACACACACACACACACATACACACACACACAACCACACACAC